AAAAAAAAAAAAAAACTTTGAATATGTTTTCAGAATATTCTTTCATCGACATGGGAATATCCCTTCACACTGTCTGACAAGGGCAAGACTCTTGCATTGTTCTGTGTGGCCCCCAGATCTCTACATGGAACACCCCCACCAAGAGTAACTAGACTCTTTTTTATAATTAGGAGTCCTAAGCATCTTGAGAGCCCCTGACACAGCTTGAGGGAGGGGGAGTATTGAGACTCAACTACTAACCCAGTTGGCAATGCGAAAGAGCTCCAGGCCATGCCGATGTTGTTTGGGAGGGGTTTTTGCCGTCCAGTATATGCCTAAGCTGTTCAGTCAGTGGCCACCATAGCAGGCTGTCCCCAAGGACCACAGCCCCAACCTGTCAACACAGCCACTTTTGAACAACTCTTTAGAATCAGGCTTTAAGCTTTTTGATACCTTACCTTTCCTGCCAGGCTCCAGGGCTTCTTCCTGTATGCTCCTGAAAGCGTCTCAGGATGCTTAACTAGGAAGCTTAGGATCCCAGGAGCCTAGAGTCAAGCCACTGGCAACCCTGTCTGGCAACTCCCACATAGGACACAGGAAGAACGTAGAGAGAAGATCCTTCATTCCTAAAGCAAGGTTACAAGTGTTAAAGCGAAGGTGAGAAAAACTGATCATCGAAAAACGTAACCAACCGCCTTACACAAAGAAATACAGGCAACTAAGAAATGCTAAGAGTAGAAGAAACAGTCTTCTCCAGGGAAGAGCACACTAACTGGTTGTCTAATACCAAACAGTCAACCCTGAAAACACACATACAAGTAACACACAGACTGAGCAGGTTATGTATAGGAATACATATACATATATACGTATAACAACAATGAACAAAAAAAGGGGCCATGAACTTGAAAGAAGATAAGGAAGGTTATATGGGAGAGTTTGAAAGAAGGAAATGATGTAATTCTATTATCTCAAAAATAAAAGAAATACATTTTTTAAAAGTAAGCATTAGCTAGTGCCCCTCTGGGATTCCCTGGCCTGAAACTGAGATAGGAAAAGTGTGAGCAAAGCCACGTTTTCCCACGGCCTCTGCCCTTCTCTCCACTCCCACATCCTGCCTGACCACCTCCACGATGGCATCATAAAGGCTTTCTCCCCAGAAATGCCCGGAAGCCGGAGCAAAGCAGTCACTCAGCAAATCATGTGAAATCAATGAGTATGTGGGCAAAGTCACCAAAGACGGTGACAGAAAAGTAGAAAACTGACATTCTGACTTGTGACCGGGTAAGCACGGTTGTTTACTTAATTGCGGTACCGTACTTTAACTGGGGCTCACATCTTCCATGTAAACCTCCACCAGGCAGCTGTTCATCCACTCGCACGGAGCAGATTTGCGTCTTCTCATATTCAAGGCAGTCTGGGCACTAGGAAATAAGAGCATGCTAAAACACGGCATGCGGTGGGTGCAGCAGCAAGCTTTTTCTACCATGCTTTTTACAGGGGGGGGGGGGGGGGGGGGGAATGGAATCAAAATGAAGGGAGAAATTAAATGACCAGTAGCTACCAGGAGGAGGGCTAATGATATTTTTGAAAGAGAACAATATCTTTCAAAAGGGAAAAAAAGAAGGGCATTGCCAACACACACACACACACACACACACACACACACACACACACACACACACGAAAGACATTCTAGACATCTAGATGCCTGGAAGTTACAAGATGGACTCTCGGCCGTGAGAAAGCATGAGACGGCCAGCCCATTCTTATGTCACAAAGGGCAGAAGAAAAGAGTGGGTGACTTTGTCTGTATGCTCTCTGAGAAGGCCCAGCTGTCCTCTGGAAAATAGAATCCTGCCTCCTGGAGCAGAGCTGAGCCTCTCTGACTGATTGAAACAACATGTACAGTCTGAGAGTAAATACAAAGCTCAGAACGCCGTCTTGCAGGGCACCATGTGGTCAGCAGGACTCTGCTGAGCTCTTAATACACAGCCATTATGCACAGTGCTGACTCACGTTCCTGAACTCGGCAGATGTCTCCCATTTTTAAAGACTCTTTTAGAAAGAAGCCTCTCCATCCTTCTAGTGGGTGGTGGTGTGGGCTCTGAAAGGAAAATCCCAAGAGAAGACTTTTTAGTGGGAGCACCCAGATAGCATGTGCATCATAAGAACATTCCAGAAGATTCTCGGTTATTTCACCATCTAGCCTGGGGAGTCACATGGGGTTTACTTCTGTCATGTTCTATCTGTTGAAGCAGTCATATAAACCCACTCAGAGTTGAAGGGGTAGGGATATAAATCCCACTTCTCCACGGAAGGAAGTCTAGGATCCTCTCTTAAGACTAGCACGCCTGGCCCGGCAAGATGCTTCAGCGGACGAGGATGCTTGCCATCAAGTGTGGCAACCTGAGTTTATTCTCTCAAACTCACGAAGCAGCAGGAGAGAGTCAACCCCGGGGAAGTCGTCCTGTGACCTCCACATGCTCACCGTGGCGTACGCATGCCTACACAGACACACAGAATGAGCAGATAAATATTAAAAGCAAAAACCCACAGTCATCCCCTTCTCCTTTCAAAGAGCCGTTCTGATGTTTACGTTGTGCGGCAGAAGCCATCTTGCAACGAGGAGGGAGGAGCTAAGGGAATCGTAGAGACACCAGCCCCGGCAATACTGAGCTAATGAGCCAACCAGAAAACTATTAAAACCTCCAGACTTCTGACGATTCGAGAAAAAACAACTCTAATTTATTTAAGACAGTCGCGAGTTCTTTTACTGCCTATAGCAAAATAGTGTCTAACCAGTGTACTACCTCCGCTGGTAGACATGGTGGACGCAGATGTCGTCAACAGACCTGCATCCGGAGGAAGCCAGAAATACAGAGTTAAGGAAGCTGTACGAAGGCATTTTGGACTTTCATTACAGTTTCTGAGTTCTCATCAAGTCTGGGAAAGCCTCGGAGAATTTCAAAGCGAAGCATATTTGTAGCTAACTGACATAAATTTGGGGTATAAAACTGACATGAAAAATGCATTATCCTTAAAAATTGGTAGAGCACTTAATGACTACAAAGCACTTCCTGGTCTTCGGCCCCGTAATTGGAAGAGGTGATTTACACTCCCGTTTCCATTCAGTGTCAACCAACCACAATGTACAAAATGAAGACATTTGTCTCATCCAAGAAATTATAACCTTAGAAAACAAAGCCCGGACGAGGCAACGGGGATTCAGAAAAAAAAAATGAAGGAAAGTCAAGTGTTCCTCCAAAAGGAACGTGAAGGAAAAGCCAATGAACTCCTGCCTCCTCTGATGCAAGGACCCATCCAGCTTTATATCGGAATGAGGGAACTGAGGAAGAGAGCCGCAGCCCCCCAGCCCACTCTGAGCTTTGCCGTGCGAGCTCACCAAGCTGGGTTTGCCGTGGGGCTTCTTTATCCCCTGTACAGAGCACGCAGGCTCGCACATGTACTCCCTTTATCTGAAAATGGAGTTCACAAGAGTGAATTATCTCACCTCTCAGAGAAGAGGGGTGCAGGGGCAGTACCCAGAAGTGGACTCTGAACCTCAGTTGCTGTCCTGGAGTTTAATACAGCTCCAATACTCACCAAAGTATGGAACGCTTGGAGCTTGCTGGACACAACAGGAAATGTGGGGCTGTTCCTAGAGACACTTCCATCCCCCTCAGATGATCCAATTCTTGGTCTCCTTGGACAGTTCAGTGTGTACTCAGACCTCATATCACAGGACTCTCCTGCTGGGGAGTCTCGATACTGACTTCGGAAAGGCCAGCTCTTGGTTTGTGCCAGATCCATGGTGAGTTGCAGCCCAGAACTTCTGGACTCCATTCATGCATGCTACCCTTCCAGTATGCAGAACTGAAGACCCAGCATTGGCCTAGAAAGCCCTGCTCCTCAGACTTCCAGCAGAAGAAACAGGCCACTAGCGGACCACATCTGCCCAGAGGTTATCCACTAAGACTGAATCCCCAGACTCAATGCAAGCTTTGAAGAGCCCTCAGCAGTCCACGGTTCAGATATTTAACTCCTCTTCTAATCCAGCAATGCTTTGTAATACGTGAACTCTAAATCCTAGAGCTGGAGCCTTGAACATTCTAATGAAACGGAATGACTAATGTAAGACAGTCTTCCCCACCCCCCCATTGACTTGTTTGTTAGTTTTGTTGTTGTTTGTTTTTAAGTGACTAGGAAAGCACAGTTGCACTTTTTCTAAACCTTCCCCTTTTCTCAAATTTTCCACTTGGATGCTTTGTGTTAAGCCTATCCTTTGTGACCCCCGCTAGTCATTATCATTACGAACAAGAAAGCAGAGCAGATGTCTATTTGGATAATGATGCTGACTCCGTAACCTAGGGAACACGCTCCTGGAGAAAGGAGCTGGGATGAACACCATGTATGCGATCAGGAACCGGCCCGAATGGGGCAGAGCTGCAGTTCACTGGAGACGTTGTACCAGCTCCGTCGGAGGAAAAGGAGATGTGCATGTGTCTGTGTCCATGTGCCCAACTGCACGTTTGCCCTGTGTCCTTTTAGAAGAAATGGAATCCCTCGTTTGGCAAGGCATTTGGTTTTCCTGTTTTCTCAGTAATAAATAAAACGTGTCTTATTGCAAGGCCAAAACATCTCGCATACAGTACGTTAGCATGCCTTGCAGGATCCTAGCCAAGTCTGCACGGTCAGGAGTCATTCTTTCCAGAGCCAGGGTCCTGTTGCAATCCCTAAGTGAGTCCTTGAGTAGGACTTAGCACTTCAAAGCTCACAGATGCGGAAACTAGACAGGGAGGTGAGGGTTCAAGAAAGCCTGTTACTTGTCTCTAATTCCTGCCATCTGGTGTGACTCTAACTCCAGGGGGAAGCAGGCTGGCAGGTGACAGCTTCTTAGAGCATGGCTGGTCTTTAGGAATGCCACCCAATCCTTCTCAGGGTAATTGGTACCTGAATTTACATAGATTTACATAAATTATGCATCCATTCGGATCCTCTTAGTGCCCATTTAGTATTAAAATAATTTGCTATTTTTAAGACACCGAGTCTAGGGAGCTTTTCCTTTCCTTCCTCTCTTTTTCCTATTGCTGTGTTACCTGCCCTTATCAGGCATCTCTCTCTGGGTCCCACAGTGGTATCTGTCAATGGCAAAGTCACTTATTTACTAAGTGTCAGGGAAATGAGGGAACCTACAATCTTGGCCTGTCCATTTCCACTATCGACCCAGAGCCAATGTCTGTAAACTTCCTGGGGCTGGATTGTGGGGAAACAATAAAGACAGTGTGCTGCCTTCCTGCTGGTCCCAGAGGAGGCAAAAACCTTCTGGCAGATAAAACAGTGTGCCTGCTTCCCGTAGTCCAGAAGAAGCGGGCTGGCTTGGGGTCCCTGGTGTATCGAATCCCCTTCTATTGTGACAGTGGTGTTCTGTGCACACTTAACTGTGCTTCCGTCCTGTCCTCTTCAGAAAGGGTAAAAGACAAAAGGAAAGACGGGAGGAATAAACACCAAGTTGGCATTTGCCTACTCAGTCACAGTCCTCTCTCTAGCTCTTGGAAGTTCTCGCTGACCATGTTTTGTGTTGACTCACACTGCTTTGGTCATTGACAACACTCTCTTCTCTGCTATTGGAGGGCTCTGAGAGAGGAACACACTTATGTGTCCTCAAAGCCTCTCCACACACTGACATGAAGCTGTTTCGTGCGCTCTAATGGATTTCTTTCTTCCTTGTAGTCCAGTGTTGGGATCGCTAAAGAATGCTGGGCTTGAAACATACACAGCCCTGTGGCTCTCTACTGCAGTGCTTATTAGCATTCCTCGGAGAAGGTGAGCCCTCCCCAGCCCATGAGTTAAATTCAACATGGCTGGAATGGATCTCAGCAGTGTAAATCTAGGTGTTCAAAAGCTTCTCCAGATGGTCGTGAGCAAAGAATTGAGAATGCTGAAAACTCACTGGATTTACCAGTGAAGGAAATCCCATTCCAGGAAGATGTAAATGCAGAGAAAGACCGGCTTGGGGTCTCTTGCTGCTTTCAGTATGCTGACCATTGTCTTCTCTCTAGGGAAGTGATTATCAAATATTTTCAAGAAATTAGAAAGAAAAAAAAAAAAGAACACAAAGAGGTTCACCCAGGGTTGAAATTAGGAGACATAGTTGTCTGTTTTAGGGTGGTACCATCTGGTCTTACATAGAGAATGGGATCTTTTTGAGTACACAACCCTGGTTTTACTTAGCTTAGCATTCTTTTCCATTGCTCCAGCCAGACCTGGCTTCTCAATTCAGGTTCTAGAACTCAGAGTTAGTTTGTTAGAATTTTAAGTGGGAGCTCTTTTAGTATTTAAACTAAAACCATCCCCACACTCCAGAGATTTCTTCAGACACTTTACCAGGAGTAAGAGATGATCCTTAGTCCAAAAGCCAACATCGATTTTAGTTGACTAACTCTTTGGCCTCCCTTGAAGCACCTTCTATAACACTTTGATAATATTTCCCTTTGCAGTAAAAGAGCATTAAGCCTTAATCTGAGACCGTTGAATATTGACAGAGATCAAGATCACAGGACTGTTTAGGAGTCCTCATGGTTGCCCTTAACTTTTTATATTCCCATAACTGAACTTCTATACCAAAAACATAGTCCAAAAAGTCTATGCTCAACCAGAAAGTTGTATTCTGACCAAATGTGGCCAAGAAGTCCTGGTTGAATCATGCTTAAGCACTCTGTGCCCCTCCAAGACAAATTATTTATGGCCTGTATGACACTATATGGCTTCCCTTACATTACACATGCTGTACATGAGCCTCTCTGCTTCCCAACTGATTTTTTTTTAATGAACTGCACAATATTATGCACACATTGTTCCATCTCACCCTCACAGAAATCTCAGAAGATAGATGTCACCATCCTTTACTAGTGAAAACTTCCCAGATGATTCAGAAAGCATCAGCCCCAGGGGATGGAAGGGGGTGGGGGGATAGAGGGTGGGGAAGATGGGGCTCAGTCAGTAAAATGCTTTCCATACAAACAAAACCTGAGTTTAGACCTCTAGCATCCATGCAAAAACTGTTTCCATCAGCATCCATTTTGAATCCCGGCACTGAGAAGGTGGAGACAGTAAGTTCCTAGAACTTGCTGACCAGCCAATCTATCTGAATCACTGAGCTCCAGGTTCAGTGACAGACCCTGAGGAAAACGCATGTCCTTACACGTGCATGCACGTACGCACACACCAATAGCACCGTCACTGCTACCACCACCAGGATCTGTGCTTAGGTAGGTCCAGGTGGAAAGGATGTACTTTCCACAAAGTATGTGACTTCCTTCTCTGGAAAAGCAAGAGGACTGTAAGGTGGCTCAAATGAGCTCATCTTCCCTGCTCTAGAACGATCTGGTAGCCTCATATTTGAGAAGACAACCTGAATCCGTGCCTATCAGGATCCCCCTTCCACAGCGATAGTAAAGTCATTTCTCTGACTCCCCAGGTTTCTGGGACTGCTCTGGGATAGAGGCAGTCCTGTTGAGCTTACATACATGTTTGTCAGAAAGAATGTTCCTTCGTTAAAACCTGCTGTTTGGAATTTCCACATCTATGGCTTTGCCCAACTTCCAAAACTAGATGGATTTAAATCATGGATCTTGTAGGACTTGGTAGACAGAGAGCAATCAAGCCTTTGTTGTTTTTAGTTGTTTTGTTTGCTGCATTATTACTATTATTATTATTATTATTATTATTATTTACAAAATCACTATGAGCAGATTATCTTTCAAATAATAAGCTTGCCATGAATGTGAAATTTGTACTATAGCCAATTAATCATTTGTCATCAATGTCAGGAGAAAAAAGGTCATTTAATTTTCAATGGAAGATACTCTGCCAACAAGAGCCACAAGAGGCTGGCTTTTATTGTTTTTTCCTAAGAAATTCAAATTTTTATATACTAGTGAAGAATGGGGGAATGTGTGCTGACTGAATATGTGGAAGCCCTCATCTCTTGGATGAGCGTGACTAGTCTGGTCCCTCTGCAGCCGAGGACATGAGGAGGCCTGCACTGTATAGTTTACATGCTTGAAGTTCCTTACTCTTCCCAATGGCTACCAGGGAAGCTAATGCTAGATGAGGTTAAATCACTTGGCCCCGTTCTCACAGTAAGAAAGGGATGCATCAAGCCCGGGCCATCATTTCCATCCTCCTTTCTCCCTCAGATGCACCCTGTGGCTGCAAATAAATCCATGATGGAAGAGCGTTGCTCTCTGGCCCATTGTCCCATGAACTGAGTTTCAGGCCCAGCTCGAAGTTCTCAGAAAAGGAGATAACCTCAGCGACCTGAGACCCGGCCTGCATTTTAGCCTTTCCTGAGCCCAAAGCACTGAACCACAGAGACAAAAATCCTATCAGTACTATGCAGTCTCTCACCTACTCCAGCAGCCCTAAGGGACCAGGTCTTTTCACTTACCCTAAACATTCCTGCAGAACAAATAAGTGCTAATCAGTTCCCAGCCCCTCAAGACTTCCTGTTTCCCTTGGGTTTTTATCACAGCTGCTGATCCCCTGCTTAGGGTTAAGTTTATATTCACTGAAGAAGTAGGGGGTGATACCACACAGTTTTATTTTTCCGCTCACCATCTAATGCAATTCATAGATAAGTCTCCACCAGGCTGTTTACAGAACCCAAGAGACCTACGAGAAATAGCCTGTTGTTTCAAATTTGGTGTGGGGATTAAGCTCATCTGTGGGACAACAGACATCCCCTGAGAAGAACATAAACCATTTGTTCAAATGACACATCAAGACCAAAATGTGATACTTCCAAAAGCCATCACCAACTTCTGTAATCTTTACCATATTTGTAATTAAAGTCAAACATTCTGAGATGTGAGGTGGTCCTCGGTGAAAGGCCTTGTGGGAACACTGATCTGAAGTCTCCCAGAACCCACCCTTTACTGATCATTATTTTTCTGGTCTTTGCACCAAAATAGCATTCCAGACTAACACTCTTCATGGTTTCTTTCTGGAAGAATCACTTCTTGAAGTCACGGAATTAGGTTGACTCTCAATATCAACATTTGCAGAGAACGAACGAAAAGATGTTTTTCCCACTGGAACTTCCCAGTGAAAGCTCGTTTAGAATTCTTTGTTCAATTTTCATTTGCTCACTTGAAGATGAAGGAAGTAGGACTAGTTGATAGGTAGGGTTCCTTCTCATTCTGGAGAATTACATGTCGACTGTACTATTTCAACTGCTCTGAGTATAGCTGTAACCAAGCATGGTGGGTCAGCATCTAACAGAGTACAAAGCCGGAAAGGAAAGCCAGGAGACAGAGAAGGGAGGAAAGGGGAACACTGGGGTTATTTGTTATATGCTTTTCCTGGGGAAAGAAAGCATGGGGATGTGGGATGGTGAGGGAGCCTACACATATCCACACAGGAGAGCGCATACAGCGGTCAGCACA